TTCCTAGTCAGAACGCAGAAACCGAAATTCTTGCGGCTTGTCTCTATCTCTCTCTGTTAGTCACAGACAGGAGTTGACGCAGGTATGGCTTCTAGTTCTAACGTTTCCCTTTCAGCCGTATCACGCGTTTACGTCTCCGCCGTTGAAAATCAACCTCTTGAATGGGACGATACCTCATCAAAGTGTCATCTCTTACCCGTCTTCGTTTTATTTCCTCTCTGATTTTAATCTCGTTTAATTCCTCCTTTATTGCTTTAAATGTATCGTTCTTTCTTAATTCTGCTTTCTTTTCTATGTTTCTCTGTAAATCTCTCTCTGTCTGATCCAAGAGCTACCCAGGCAGCTCTAATATGCACAAACAGAACTGCCACGGTGCCAGAGAGGCAAACCTTCGTTGCAAACTTCTTGGCAGCGTTGGACGCAGTGACACCGCTGATTTTGAGACAAAAATATGCAGCTGTTATTAATGGGACGGGAAGCACTGCAGTTTATGCTTTTGGTGAGTGCATGAAAGATCTTGATGGAACAGATTGCAACCTCTGTTTTGCTCAGTGCAAGACTCAGGTTTTGAGGTGCCTCCCTTTCCAGCGAGCCACTCGTGGAGGTAGACTTTTCTATGATGGGTGCTATTTAAGGTACGATGATTATGATTTCTTTAATGAGACATTGAGTACACAAGATAAGACTATTTGTGCAAGTGGGGATTTCAGTGGTGGTAATAAGACTGTTTTCAGCGCTAATGTTTTGGAGTTAGTGAGGAATTTGAGTGTAGCAGCTCCAAAGAATGACGGGTTCTATGTTGGATCTGTGGATAGAGGGAATGTTTCAGTTTTTGGGTTGGCTCAGTGCTGGGAGTTTGTGAATGGAAGTGCTTGTGAGACTTGTTTAACAAATGCTGTGTCTAGGATTGGTTCATGTACTCCAAAGGAAGAAGGCAGAGCTTTGAATGCTGGTTGTTACTTGAGATACTCAACTCAGAAATTTTATGATAATTCAACCTCTCCAATTGGAAGAAATAAAAGTGAGATGGCTCTTCTTCTATTCTGCTCGTCTTTTTCTATTTGCTTCTGATTTTCGTTGTTTTTCTTCGTTGTGTACTATCAATTACAGTATGGTTATTGCTGAGAATTAGCATTTGCAGGTTTGATAATTAAATTCAAAAGATTATGTTCATTTTGGGCTTCTTATAAACTGTAAATTGGATAGTTCAATCAATCAGTTGAGGTTTGTAATTTGCTGTAATCATTGATGGAAGATACAAGATCATTTTAGAAAAGTTAATTAGTGTATCTTGCCAGAACCTAGCTGAGCATCACAAGACAAATCTATAGCTATAACTTGACTCCTACATTGACATTCGTATCATCGTGGTGCTTATTAGGTCGGGGCCGCTTGACGGTTATTCTGGCTGTGACATCTTCCAGTGTGGCTGTTGCTTTGATGATTGCAACAACTGTTTTCTTTGTGAGGAGGAGAGTCGTGGAAAAGAGGAGAGGTAAGTATATATGACTATCTAGATTTTCATTTTCGTTCGATTCTGATTATCAACATGAAGTTTAACATGCTTCTCTGATCTTGTATTTGTACAGCAAGGAAGGAACTTGGTGCTTTACTGGTCACAGTGAACAAGTCCAAGCTCAATTTCTCATATGAATCTCTTGAAAAAGCTACAAATTACTTCCACCTTTCAAACAAACTGGGACAAGGAGGATCTGGATCAGTTTACAAAGTAAAGTCTTATATTAGCTTTTATTCATTTTGCAGCTAGCCAAATGATCCTTACTTGTGGAATTAAGCAAGCACATTCACTCTCTCTCTCTCTTTCTTTTCAATCAAGTAGGGAACGTTGTCGGATGGGACTACTGTTGCTATAAAGAGGCTTCTATTCAACACAAGGCAATGGGTGGATCACTTCTTTAACGAAGTGAATTTGATCAGTGGCATTCAACATAAGAATCTTGCAAAGTTGTTGGGATGTAGCATTACAGGACCAGAAAGCCTTCTTGTTTATGAATATGTACCAAATCAAAGCCTTCACGATTACTTTTCTGGTTGTTATCTCATCTCTAAATGCTAACATTTGTCTCATATTCGTAAGCATTCTTACTGAGGAGTTTTCATTTAATCTGCTTCAGCTAAAATGAATCTCCCACCATTATCATGGGCAATGAGGTATAACATCATATTGGGTACAGCGGAGGGCTTAGCCTATCTTCATGAGGAATCAGAGTTGAGAATCATACATAGAGACATTAAACTGAGCAATGTTCTGCTCGATGAGGATTTTAACCCAAAAATAGCTGATTTTGGACTTGCTAGACTATTTCCAGAAGATAAGTCTCACATCAGCACGGCAATTGCTGGCACATTGTAAGATAAATGCTTCCTTCAATTATGTTTATTAGTCCTCCTTTACAGGGTGTTCTTTTTGTAATTATCCTCACTTCATCTGAGAAATTACACAAGAATAAGACGTGGCTAGAAGGATGTCAATGCTCTACTAATTTTTGCTATATATGCATTACAGTATTTTTTTTCAATCTCCAATAAGCTTAACATATTGTTTCACGGTGCTAAAACGTTGTGCGACGGTAAGAAAAGGGATCTATTATTACTTATGGCCAACAGCTTCTATATTCAAGTTTAATTATCAGCTATCAGTTTCTATCCATCCCCAAATTAATAAGGTTTTTGTTTACTGATGCATCTGGCTCACATACCTGATATTTAATAGAGAGAGATATGCTATTCATATTTACGTGTGGAATCACTAAGACAATTAATTAAATTGCTGCAGAGGTTACATGGCCCCAGAGTATGTTGTTCGTGGAAAACTGACCGAGAAGGTTGACGTTTACAGTTTTGGAGTTCTTGTGATTGAAGTCGTCAGCGGAAAGGGGAAAGATTCCGTCCCTCAAGATTCACGATCTATCCTACAAAAGGTGATTCTTTTTCTCATATGGGATTAGTAATGTATTTTGCACTGATAAATGCTCACTTTTTGCCCTTTTCTTTTTGCTCTGTGGAAAAGGTATGGAGCCTGCATGGAAATGGTAGACTATGTGAAGCTGTTGATCCAGTCCTAGAAGGAAATTTTCAAGAAGACGAAGCATCACGATTACTTCAAATAGGCCTGCTTTGTGTACAAGCTTCGCCAGAGCTGCGTCCATCTATGTCGATCATTGTTAAAATGATTAATGACAGCCATGAAATTCCTCAGCCAACACAACCACCATTTCTTAGTCCTGCTACCATGGAGAGCAGCCCCTTTAGGCAACCTGGTTCTACTTACAAATCTCAGCCTGAGTCTTCTACCCAGTCTTCAGGGAATAGCATGACACAAAGCTGGATCGAGCCCAGATGACATCCCTGGGCAGTTCTGACAGCTTGAAACTTGGTTGCTCCTAGCTGATCTCATATAACCTGCTAGAATTCTTCCCCTGCTCGTTCTTTCTTGAGTTGTGAAGGCCGATGAATTTAGGAAATAGGCAAATATTCTACGCTGAGGGAACTCGAGTGACCTGTTAATACTGGAACAATTAAATAGAAATGGTTTTCCATGTTGATATTATATAAGGCAGCCATTCTATAAAATCATACGTTTATGATTTTCTTTTTGTTGTATAGAAATCAGATTGATCTGCTTAGCACTTTACACTGAATAAGATTGTCTTCTCCTCTTCCCCAATTCGAAAGAATCCATTGCTCTTCATTGTGCAATTCAGTGAACAATGCCAGAAAAATTTGGTAACTTTTTTATTTCAAGGCAAGCAATACTCCAGTTCTCTTCAGAAAAGGGGAGTGAAAATTATTTTAAATGAAAAACAGGTTTCACCTGAAACGGGATCTTCAGAATTTCAAGGCAACTAATGTAATGACTTTTGAAGCACCCGCATTTAACTCTGTTTTAGCCGTACTCGATTGGTCATCTTAAAAAAATATCTGAGTAAATTAAGAAACAAAAAAGAAAAAGAAAGGAAAGGAAAGAATAAAACGTATCTGTGTGAAGTCAAATATAGTTAGCTTGAGATTTTTCGGTGTACAACGCCCCCAGGCTGAGGTTGCTTTCAACGTTGAATTGCATTAATAATTTATAAATTGTTGAGTATGCAGGGGACTAGAAATTAATAATTTATAAATTGACGGTGATGATGATGCGTGATGAATCAACAAGTTGTGACAGCGTCACGATAATCATAACGGTGGTGATTATAGCCACAATTTGTCCTTATAATAATCAATATTTTCGAATTAGTGGGATAGGAAGTAAAATCATGAGGAAATTACTTCTTCTAATAAATGGATTAATTGAGTGCGCATGAAAACCCGAATCTAGCGAAAAGATAAGCGCTGGTTCGTCTAATTATCCTTCCGATAGATTATGGAGAAATTTCCGTTGGTTTTCCGTCGAGATTCCAAGTAATCTATAGGCTTCGTTTGGGATTAAAACACCGCCGCAAGTTATATGGCACCAAAAGCATTACTATGCGGCTTATATGGCGGTGCGGTGACGGCTCTTAAAAGGGGAAGACTCAAAAGTCAACAGTTAACTTTCTTTGTAGGCTCTCATGGATGACAAGACAGGTAGTGCCTTCGTATGTATCCATTCATCCAGCAAGGCACTTCGATCTATACATCTTATTGTCTTCCAAAACCATTCTCTGGTAAGAATATATATATTCCTGAAAACACTGCTCTCATTGCCATTAGACTATAATTGAAAGGGAAATGACTCGCCATGGTTTGTAACTTTTTGTGGTGGTATCAACTGCTTTGAAATCGAGTAACATTTGAATCCATCTGGGCCCAATTGATCAGATTATGACTGTAGAGCTCAAGTTGCCAAATTGAGATAAAAAAAGGGCTGAAATTTATATTGGATTACTTACCGTCAAAGGACAGAGTTGAAGATTGTACAACCGCGTTTCTGCCTTTTTTTTTTATTGGTTTTTGAAACGACTTTCGTTCTCCTTCTTCGTTCTCACTATTCTTCCCTACCCTTTTGAATTTTTAGTGAGATAGAGAGAGAGAGATTGGTGTCGTTTGTATCTTCACTTTGACTTGAGCGCGCTACCTTTGCAATCTTGTATTCAACTACTCAGATTATAATAATCTTCTTCTTCTTCTTCATCTTCTTCAGTTGTAAAGTTAGAAACAGATAAAGCTAACACTTTCTCCCTTATTGCTCAAGATCTCTCAGTTCAGCTACTCTACACAACACTAATTAAGGTATGTATGTATGTATGCATGCAAATCTATACATACAATTTATTTTCCTTTTATCTTTTATTTTCTTTGATAGACTAATAATTCTATAAAAACAAAAGAAAAAAAACTTGACGTTGCAGAGGTAGCTAGGAAGGAAACTTAATTTAATTAGAAACTCATCTCGCCCTTTTAGTCTAGTATGATCAAGAAAAACAATATTAACATGAATCATTTTATTTTATTTTTTTGTAAGAAAGGTAGTCGTTCCTTCTTTCAGTTCTTTTTACTTTGATTTGGCTGCCCGACATAGCTGTCGGAGCTGGAATATTGGATCAGAATCGTGTATCAGGGACCTTTTTATGTTTTTTCTCTGTTCCTCTCACCAAAAAAATAGACAGACAAGCTGCTAAACCACGTGTTCGAGGTTTTATCAGTAGTTTTGTATAGGCCTGGGCTTAGGCGTAGCCTAGCTGGCACCGTCTTAATGTCTTGCTAAAAAATTTAAGGGGATGGATACGATCCAAGGGAGGGTGGGGCTGGCCTTGGGGTGCAGGAAGGGTCCATTACCTTTTTGGATAATTAATGCCCCCACTGCTTCTCTATCATTTAAGAATTTGACGGCAAATTCTTCTTTAATCAAGATGAGCATCGGGTTGCTATTACCATTAGATCTTGCCCAGCATGCATCCGTACGGATGAGGTGGTGTTTTTTCATTTCATCTTGTTTCCTTTCTTGTGAGATATGTCGTGTGAAGATGGTGAAGAAAAACAGGTGTGAAATCAGGAAACTCCATCTGGGCTGTTTGGCACCAAAAGAGTACCTACTTTTTTTGACTTGGAAAGTGAAGGAACCCATGATCTGCAATCTGTTCAAGAGTGCCATAAATAAAAAGCCGGCAACAACTCCACGCCTTCTTTATGCCCAGGCCATTTCCCTTTCTCGAGTGGTTACTCAATCCATAGTTTTGACAGTTCTGGTCTTTGTTGTGTTTTCATTACTCTCGACGTGCTACCCCTTTTTGATCTTAGTCACGACCTGAGATTTTCTAACGACCTGATCCACCTTGCACAGCCAATCTTGTAATCGAAGCCAAAGATGACAAAAGCAATCCAATCGATCCCTTACGAAAGGATTTTCTTCTGCCTTTTTGGGTATGTTTTGTTGCGTGAACGGGCGGTGGTTGGAGATCCTAGATCCCATACGATCCAAGTTATGTGTGGACGCCAACTGGAGCACAACGCAACTATCTTCGTGCCAAATTTTGTTGCCACAATGGAAAACATCAGTGAACAGATGCGTGTGTCCGGCTTTGGAGTAGCAGTTTCAGGCTCTGGACCTGACATTAACTATGGCCTTGCCCAATGCTATGGGGACCTGTCTTTACTTGACTGTGTACTATGCTATGCCGAGGCACGTACGATTCTTCCACAATGCTATCCTTATAATGGGGGTCGCATTTACCTTGATGGTTGCTTCATGCGAGCTGAGAATTATAGTTTCTATGAAGAATATCTAGGACCTGGAGATAAGGCTGCTTGTGGAAATACAACGCGTAAGAATTCAACATTTGCGGAATCGACAAGGCAGGCTGTCTCACAAGCAGTCACTAGCGCATCAAATAATCAAGGTTATGCACGGGTACAGCTCCCAGTTCCGGGCACAAACGAGTCAGCTTATGTGTTAGCTAATTGCTGGAAGACATTAAATGCAAGCTCTTGCAGGGAATGCTTGGAGAATGCCACTGCATCTATATTGGGATGTTTGCCCTGGTCGGAGGGCAGAGCACTATATACTGGGTGTTTCATGAGGTACTCGGATATAGATTTTCTCAACGAAGAACTTGGGAATGGAGGTTCCAGAGGTAAAGGAATTGCATTCTCTTGTGTTGCAAAGTTGTTATGACTGAATGCGGTTCATATATATTTGAAGTTCTTACACTAATAAACTTGGCCTCGTGATTCATGCATCTGGATGAATGAACTGCAGGGAGCATTGTAATAATAGTTGTTTCAGTTATCAGCTCTCTGGTGGTTTTAGGACTTGGAGTATCTATAGGAGTTTATGTATGGAAACGCAGATATATAATGAAGAAAAGAAGAGGTAACAAACTTCCTTTGCGTGTGTTATCTGCTTCGGAAAATATACAACGCTCTCAATCTGACAACTTATAACAGTATTGGTTATCGTTGACATTTTCCTTGACTTCTGGGATGCTTGTGTCTTCATCTTACAGGTTGTAATGAGGCTCGAAAGTTGGCCAGAACCCTCAATGACAGTAGCTTGAACTTCAAGTACTCGACACTAGAGAAGGCCACTGGGTCTTTTGACGACACCAACAAGCTTGGACAAGGAGGATTTGGATCTGTTTACAAGGTTGTTCTCTACTAGTTTCATTATGATATGTTAGTACTAATCAAATTCTTCTAATAACTAAATTAGACCAGGGTTTGTCTAAGTTTTATTTGTTCATTGCAGGGAGCTTTACCTGATGGAAGGGAGATTGCAGTGAAGAGGCTTTTCTTTAACAACAGACATAGAGCTGCGGATTTCTACAATGAAGTAAACATGATAAGTAGTGTGGAACACAAAAATCTGGTCAGGTTGTTGGGGTGCAGTTGTTCTGGACCTGAAAGCCTTCTCGTCTATGAATTCCTGCCTAACAGGAGTCTCGATCGTTTCATCTTCGGTAAATGCTATAAATCTACATTTAAACCTTAATTCTGATATTGCAAAAATGCTATCAGTAGAGTATCAACAAAGAATACTTGTCTTACTGCATTTGCTGATATTGTCACTGTTTCAAGTCTGTGTCTGAGTTGGAATGCCGACTGAAATGGAACTTGATGGTGTTTTGCATATGTAAATGTGGCAGATCAGAACAAAGGCAAGGAGCTGACCTGGGAGAAGAGATATGAGATAATTACTGGCACTGCAGAAGGTTTAGCCTACCTTCATATGAACTCCAGTATCAGAATCATTCACAGAGATATAAAGGCCAGCAATATCTTGTTAGATTCAAGGCTTCGCGCTAAAATTGCTGATTTTGGGTTAGCCAGGTCTTTCCAAGACGATAAGAGTCACATCAGCACAGCCATTGCAGGAACATTGTAAGTATCTTTTTTTCAGATATTTCCAAAGTGCTCGAAAGACAATTAGCTGGCTCAGAAATCTTGCAGTTCTTTAAATGCAAATTAAAGTCCTTGAATATTCGAATATTCGAACAAGCAATGAATATAAATAATTTGCAGAGGTTACATGGCTCCGGAATACCTAGCCCATGGTCAGTTAACAGAAAAGGTAGATGTCTACGGCTTTGGGGTGCTTTTGTTGGAGATTGTTACAGGAAGGCAGAATAATAGGAGCAAAAACTCAGAATACACGGAGAGTCTAGTCATACTAGTAAGTTTCAGATGCTTTCCATAAAACCTCTTTGTTGTCTTTAATTTATAAAGTATTTAAGAAAGGACGGTCGTTTAACTTATCCATAAATCCTCTCTTTTGTGGGAGAAAACAGACGTGGAAAAAATTCCACGCAGGAACTGTGGAGGAGCTTTATGACCCAAATCTGATGCTGCACAACCACCATGATAACAATGTTAAGAATGATGTTAAGAGAGCAGTGCATGTGGGCCTTCTGTGCACCCAAGAAATCCCATCACTTCGACCAACAATGTCAAAGGCTCTACAAATGCTAACAACTGAGGAACATCTCCCTCGGCCCTCTAATCCCCCTTTCATAGACGAAATGACCATGGAACTCAATGACACATGCGAGGACCCATGTTACCCCCTTAATTCTGCTACTTCGGCATCAATTGCCACCGTTGAAAATAGTTCCTTCCACCCAAGATAACCTCAAGACGGATGAAGGGTAGATTTTACAAAGGAACGGTGCACCATACTGCTTCTATTTATTGAAATTGGCCAAACATCTGTGGCCACAGTTCCACTAATTCAAGCACCGTGTCAGAAGCATTTGCAAAAAGAATATGATGATGGGCATATGAGAAGTTGTCAATAAATTATACAGTTGTAAAGATGAGATTGAGTGCAGTAATGCCAATTCCTATATTCATCGTGGAGTTGGACAAGAGTGCATGACAATGTAAAGTTTTACTGACTGATTTATAAAATTTTGTAGGTTTAAATAAACAAATCTAGCTCGAGGAAAACTAGAATTACAAGTTTTAAGATCTTTTTGAAAATAAAAATCATGTAAGAATACAAACTTCTGGATTGAGGGGTTCACATGCATTTCCTCTTCCATCGAGGATGCTCTTGGGCAGGAAGCTCTCGTCGAAAAATAATACAACGGAAATTTATCATCCATGTAGCCAGATTGTTTGTGGCTTTTAGCTTATCATTTGTTATGCCTGAGTTGCAGTAAACATTCTAAACATAAAAATCATCAACCCCTATATATAATATGTCCTTACCCAACAAAAACTTTGAAAACATGCTGTTAAAAACTGAGAACCAACCTCATCTAGCGTGTGGCTACTACTTTCCCCATTAGGCCTCCACTAATCTCATAGTGTGTGGAAGTACAAAATCCTGCTTCCAGACCATGTTCTTCCACCTCCTTCCCTGTATAAGAAAAACAAATCATGTCACCTAACGACAAAAGAATAAAAATAAAAACTCCAGAGGAGAAGCATGTTCCTTCCAAACATGATAATCAGCTTCCTTCCATGTTACAGTTGTTAGAGAGTATAGTAAAATTATTCCTCGAACCTCATCTAAAAACTTAAGTTTTTAGGTTAATTTAGTTCTTTAATATGATATCAGAGTTTTGATGACTAGATAGTTACAAGTTTGCACTTGTGAGGGTGTATTAGAGAGTAATATAATTGGGCTGAGATGGTTCTTTGACAATAATATGCTAGGAGGTAATAGGAATTATCAGGGAAAAAAGACCTTATCATTGACACAGACAAACAATTAGATATGCAGTGTTTGGAGGATTGAGTTGTCTACTATGAAATCACTGTTCATCTAATCCAGCAAAAGGCATCATAGAATACAAGTGACAGAGGAACAACGACCCTGATAAATATTCTCCGATTGAGCCTTTCAAATATTCATACTCTTGGGACAACATTGTCAATCATCCATTCCTTGTGACAAGAAACATACAAAAGAATTTATTTTATCAGATCCTGATTATGAGCGAAATCTACACGTATCTGATGATAAGTTCTAATAAACATTCTTAAAGAGAAGGTTAAAACCAATAGGAAAACAGTTGTTTCCGAGCCTACAGCTATCAATCATCATAAATAAAAGGACAATTATTCATGCAAAAAGCATTCGTTGCTAAGGATCGGATTTCATTCCTCTGAATCCAACAGGCACATTATATCAACAAACATGGAGAGGAAAAAAAAAAGACAGAAAAACACTCTTCATTTCGCAATTAAAATCAAGGACTGATGCTTTGGAACTTGTATATGAATACAAGGGATAGAAATGTCACGATTTGTTAATTCAAACAAGAGGGAAGAAGATAGGACCTGGTCTCGGTGCTCTAAACATCTCCCGCAAGGCCTTCCGCTTATCCACCACATTTTCGAAACCCATAACCTATGGGAATAGCATCAAAGTATCAATCTTGGAAGGGCAGATCAGTTGCCTCGCCCTCAACCCACCTGTGATCAATCAATGCAATGTAAATCAGGGTATCCAAAATGTTAAAATCACGAGGTGCGAAAAAAATCTTTTACCAATGCTCACTCGATGCTCTTGCAGTAAGCCTTTGCAAGCAAATGTTTCCGGGACGAAGCCATAAACAGCTGCTCCTTTGACAAATCAAGATTACTCACCTGCAAATTTTGACAAGAAATTACAAACTTCCCATTGCTACACTCACGCAATGTGATAATTCAAGCACAGCTAAGGATTCCGAAAGGAACCTTGCCGCCATTGGAGCCACCTTTTTCAGACAAGAGAAATGCTAAATCCCCACTTCCACAACACAGGTCCAGCACGAAGTCTCCCATTTTCGGTGTCCCAATACCATTCTCTTTTTTTTCTTACAAGAAAAAAAAAGAAAAAAGAAAAAAACGTTAATTACCCAGTAAGAAAAAAAACGTTAATTACCCAGTCGAAGTTACGGGAGAAAAAAACGTTAATTACCCAGTCGAAGTTACGGCCATAAGTTTCCAGATACGATGCTGACCCAAACTCAACAAATCATTCAACCGTGCAAAACCAAAAAAATGGGGGGGGGGGGGTAATGCGGTTGAAGAGCAGCTGGCGTTCGTTAGCTCAACGATTGGATGGGTATGGGAAGGCTTCGTAGAAAGGATGAAGATTTGTAACCAAAACTTAGCTGCAGCTGAAGTGATGGTAAGACACCCAAGCTTTGTTTTTATCTTCTCAAACTTTGTAGTTGATAAAGAGGCCACAGGCTAAAACACATAATGGGCTTATTGCAAGAAGCTCAAACTAAGACACCCAAGCTCTGTTTTTATCTTCTCAAACTTTGTAGTTAAAGAGGCCACAGGCTAAAAAACATAATGGGCTTATTGCAAGAAGCTCAAAACCGACATGGCAAGTTTCTAACCATTGATGAAATCTTGCGGTTCAGAATTGATGAAGCAATTTACTATCCATGTATTACATTAACACCAAATGTTTATGCATGAATAAATATTATCCATTCAAAATTTATCAAACTAGTATCACGACCGCTTATCAAAATTGACTTGTTTCATTTTCTGATTCCCTCACTTGCACCATGTCTCCCAAATTGTAATGGACAAACTCAGCTAAACTGTTGCTTTCCTTGAAAGTGGCTTTGTGGAGGATATAATTAAACACACATTAACTATTATTAACACTTTAATGTGTTTAATCTTCCTGTATGGATAGGGAATTAAAACACTTGAAAAGGATATTTTTCCAAATATTTTTTATTTAAAAATATATTAAAATAATATTTTTTTTATATCTACACATCAAAATAATAAAAAAATCAAAAAAAATTATTAATTTGAATTTCAGGAGCTCACTCCAGACGGAATTTGTCAAGTGATTTTGAGTGGCAGAACGGTGTCTCCGAATGAGAGGCTGCAGGTTTTTTCTCCCAGCACAAGAGGGTGGCCAGATGTCAATTCTGTCAGACTTTGATTTCTATGAGCACATCTGAACCTCACTAGTCTAAACAACCACGAGAGATCTCAAAGATTACAAATCTTCTACAGAAAGATCATAAGGCCAAGAATAAGGAGTAGATTATTCATTCAAACTATGTAAGCATTAATTGCGAATATACATGATGCAAAATACAGTTAATCTTCCTCTCTTTGTTATTTCTAAAGATAAACTTTTCGATGCCAGCAATGTTGCGTTGCATGATGTACATGAAGCCAACAGGAATATCAGCCGTCTTCTGTAAAGAACTGCCCAGAAAGATTATCCATAACAGCAAATTGCAGGTTCTCAGATGGTTTCCAGTGGCGCTTACGTTGATTTATAAACCAATTATTAATTTGCTTCTGATCTAGCCCAGTCGATTCGGCCAATGCTATCTTATCAGCTTCCTGGAAAGATGATTACGCAAGCAAATTATCGTCTTACCAGCGTTGAACTTTGGAAAACAATTAAAATCCTGCCTGCACAAATTCATAGCATTTATGCGTGTGGGTGTGTGTGTGTTGTGTGTGTAGCTACCAGCATCAAATGAAACATCTACATCCGGCCCGTCTGTAACTCGTTTATAAGAATCAAAAGACATAATGCTACCCTTCTCAGTTTCACACCTGAAAATAATTTCGTGCGTTCTATGATATACTATGCATCGGAAATCAGGACTAGCATATTTTTAAAATAACTGAAATAGATGCAGCCTCAAGAAGAGAGAGAGATACACACAGTTGGATATGGCCATTTATAGTGAGCATCCCACCATCCAACTAGGGTTTGCCTAGCTTCCTTCGGTAGCTTTCCTTTCTTCTTTTTCTTTGAGAACTCCAGCTTCAGCGTACCAATATGACTTCCAAACCTGCGGAGAAGTTTATCTTTAAGCTCTCGGTCTTCACCACTTGGTTGGGCTTCATGCATATCCATCTCCCCTCCACTTAACTCCTCATCTGATGATGGTGCACCTTCATCTACACAAGTGAATTGAAAAATCCTTAAATGGTTTATGCATGCACAAAATACATAGAATCAACAATATACATTCATTCATTTATCCTACAACTGAGACTTAATTGAATCGAGCTGGTGAAATTTCAATTTAACGTTACCAACCCTGACCCCAGCCCCTTAGAGCCTGTGAAAAACTACCGAAAACATTCTCCCATTCCTATAGCCAAGATAAGCCTCCTAGTCCTAGAGAAGGATAACCGAAGTGATTGGTTATCATTGTTATTGATCATCCCATTACACCATCCAAGCACAATAATAATTTAGGTTTCAGCAGTACTTCTTTAACAAACGTCGTTGCTGATCAAGAGAAACGTAGTAAAGATAATACTCCCACCCTCTAATGGGTAGAAATTAAGGATATGTTTGTTATTGATTAATAGCAATACTAATGTTAACAAAGTGAGATTCTGAAGGAGTACTTGCGTTGTTAGATACAGAGTTCAAGGCGTTGAAGTATCTTGACAAGGCAGATCAGAATATGGATGGTTGGTGATAGTAATTTGGCTCTAGCATCTTTGACAAGATAGATAAGAACAGTTACCATCAGATTCATGCCATTAATCGTGATTCAAAAATTAATTCATCTATGACCTTGAGTTCTATGCCATTGCTTAATCATTACAACATTAGGTCATTATTGTGTGCAGAAAGAGTTCATATTCTCGTCATTAATTTAAAATGGACTCTTTGAGCAACATGTGTTGAGCAAAATACATGTCCTGTTTATTCCAAAGCAGCTATTAGCAACAAGTGAAGTGATCAAGCTATTTTTCATAGTTACTTGTTTAGTGGCTTGCAAATGTGTATTCTAGACTGTTCCTTCAAGAATTTATTATTTGTGAGCTGCAAAGCAAGGATTACTTCGAACGTGATAAGGCTATGTTTTGCTCACCTCTAATTACTACTGGCCTAAGTTATCAAGTCCATTGCCACGGTTTCTTGTGGTGTCTCATCTGTCAGCGGTCTAAGCACACCTATTCCAGCTCTTTGGATGGATGCTAAGATTGATTAGCGTCGTCTCAAGAGTTGTGGACTCTATTTTTGTGGTAGTGGATCGGTCCTCGAACATGGGCCATTTCAATGCTTGCAAGAAAACTACTACATTGTCCAACTCTACTCCAAGAAGGTAAGGTGGCTCACTTACATGGGATTCTTAGGTCCATCAAATCTGATTAGGATAACAAGTTTATGAGCCATTGTCTATGGTGGAAGTTGGGCATATCAGAATTTGAATAAAACCTCCTCCTAGTTTCAAAAAAATGGTAATCGAAGTTTAGGGATTCTCTTAAAGTGATTGGCAGGGAGAAAATTAAAGAAATGGAATCTTGCCTTATCACAAACTGAGCTTGTATATAATAGTCAAGAAACCACACCAATCAACCTTGTCTTTTTGAGGTTTTAACGTATGGCTACAATACAAACATCAAGCGTACTTGACTTGGCGCCTTTTCCCTGTATTGGGCACTAGAGCGTCAAGGGAGAAAACATGATAGGGTATCTTTGGGGGGTTCATGATTAGGTTGAACAGGCAATCACTGATAGTAATCCAAAATATAAGCACAGCAATTAGGTCGCTTTTGAGGTTGAAAATACAATACGAGCAATGCTTACCCATGACTGGTTTCCAATGAGAGAGGGCAGCAAGCTTTGAAAAACAAAGATGGCACCAAGCTTTGAAAAACAAAGATGGGGCCTTGTGAGGTGCTGTAAGAACGACAATTCCTAGAGACTGTGTTCCTAGTTATTTAAAGAACTCTAACGTCTTCAATATGCATTACTCAACTTAGTAGTTCTTTCTAGCCCGGGAAGAAGCAGGAGATTTTGAAGGAGCTACCTTGACAGAGCACACCAACTCAAGGATGGCAAGAAACATTGGTTCAGGTCGATTTGGAGATTTTTATTTACCCTTTATTATTTTGACCATAACTTTTTTCTGTGAGTGTAAGAACGAATGCAAATCACCTCTGTTAAGAGAGCTCGTTCCGTGAGCACATGAAGACAATCAATCATGCTCGTTAGGGTTTTGTGTTTTTTACTATTTTTGTTCCCTTTTCGAGATTATTTTATGATGCTTTTTCTTTCGGTTTCTGCTTAAGTTTTATCTACTTGTTTTAGATATTATTTTTATTTTATTGAATAATTAAGATTTACCTTTTTTTTAAATAAATGTTTTAACCCTAGCTATTCAAGCGTGACTTGTGAGCTATTTTCATGCTGTGATACCTTATAAATTGTCAAATAAACAAGAATAATGCAAGAAATAAATCAACTACGAACAATTAATTAAGAGACATTTTTAATCACCATAAGAAGAGGTTTCTAAGAGAATAATTTCATATGAAAGCATCCCATGCGTGAATGACCTCTAATGGAGGTGACCCATAAAAAATCACTCTTGACAACTCAGGCATGAGAGGAAATCTGACCGTTGGAAGAACGAAAAGGAAGCAGCAGATGAAGCCACGTGCCCTTTTAATTGACTTCAAGTCTTCTGTTTAGATCCCTTATTTTTAAAATTAAAATAACATTTTTCTATTTTTTTATATACATTAAAATAATTTCTTAGCTTATATTTATTATGATACATAGATTAGTTCTCCTTCAGGTTTTGACTCAGTTGTAAAATTCATATTAATCCAATCTACATGTGATTTTAATAAAAATACTCGAATTTTAATTAATGAATAATTACTAAAATTATTGAGGGAAAAAAAAGACATGATAAGTTTTTAAGGGTGTAGACATAATTATTTATTAAATATCATTTATAAGCGGGAATAATAAATACAAATATATTATTTTATCTTTAAGCTAAATATATTTGTGACAAATTATACTTTGTAGAAATAATTGCATGCTACATTTATTTCTAACAAGAAAATCTGCCCTGCTCTAAATGTTCTCTACCTGGATCACTGTTTGTAGCAAT